GACGCTCTTTGAATCTACAATCACAGCTCGACCAGATTGAAGAGGGGGTGTTTGACGCAGCACAAGACACGGATGGATCGTGATTTCATTCACGAAGACGAAGATTGTTGATATCGTTCAACAAGACGAAGATTAGACCAAAACTTGACAGGAATTCTGAACGGAATAAGTTTTAGCAAAAAGAATATATCCTCTTCTGTGATTACAGCGAACTAAGTATAGCAATTAGCCATTAAAATCTAGATAACATTAAAATGCATGAATAAAGATAGATTGTCTAGATTCGGTCGATGACCGGATTAACTATATTAATTTTAGCAGGCTTTAATGATTAAATTCAAAGTTTCTGAACACTTCATTAATGATGGCTGGTTTCGGAATGGACTTGATTTGTTTGATGTGGCTGTATCTCTTCATCTTCCCGCAGTTCTTGATTTGGCTGCAACGCTTCATTATCCTGTGGTTCCTTATCAGTGTTGCACCTTTTTTGAACGACCTTCAGAGCACGCACAAACCCAAACACCAACAAAATTGCATGTATGTGTCTTGAAACAGTAAGATGTGACCCAGGCAATTGTGCGGGCTGCTCTCTCCAGTGTTTCGACTTTCGAAATCATCCAGGGCACGATTACTCATCAACATGACATCGTTGTTTTCAAGTACCTGTCAATGTTTAAAATTATTGCTAGCAATGGTCTCTCATTTTCAATTCTCAGATGCCAGTAAACTAGTTATATCTAGTTGAATTGAGGGTTCCGTCTATGTTTTGAGTAAAAGCTGGATGGAATTCAGACACAGCCTTTTGCTTTTAAAGTTGGTGATTTTTGATAGTTTGAGCGAGCTCTGCAGTGCTTAATCTTTCCTTGCATGAGCCGTAAATAACCGTGTTCCATTGACAACCTTGCTTTCTGGTTCAGGTGCCAGATATAATTGACAATGCATGTTATTTTTGAGTTTGACAATGGCTCGCGAGGGATGCTTGACCTTTGCATGTTTGCTTAAGGCAGTAAAAACGAGCGAGAAGTATCTGTTTGTGGTGTAGGAAAGTTAGTCCCCCATGTTAGTGAATGCTGAGCCCGCTTCATCTTTGATTGCATTTGCCATCTCCCTCTTATATAGGCAGTCCCCTCCTTTGCTGCTTTGTATTGCTCGGATGATTCCAATTTAAATGAAACATCCAATTGTACTGTCGTTTTGATTTTAACATCCAATAGTTCCATTTACTGATTTTCCCAGTATGCTGCTCCATTCTTGGGCATGTATGCATGTCCTTTCACACATTTTGTTCAAACCGTGCCTTTGTTCCAGAGAGTATCATGCATTTTGGTACTCGTATGGCAGGGAGAGATACTGTACAGACATTGAAAGCTGAGGATGGTCGAGTTAAGTGAGTTGTCTTCAAGTATATTGGAGTTGGATTGTGTATATTTGCGAATACAGTTAGGCTTCCTTTTAAGTGTGATTCTGCATGAACTTGTTTTCCAGATGCATCATGGATCTAGCTATTTGGAACACCTTAACTTCTTGTCTGCAATTCGAGCAAAAGGTGAAAAAGCTCCTGCAGTGGATTGGCAAGAAGGGTTGATTTCAGTGGCTATTGAGTTGCAGCCCAGCTTTCTATTGAGAAGAGTCAACTTGTTACAAGTCAGGAAGTCATGGATGAACATTAGTTAAGCTATTATGTAAGTCTTGACTTTTCAAAACGATTTAAAATATATAAATTATATTAAATTTTAACCCAAAAAAATTTTAATTTTTTGAGAAAACAGGTTAAACAGCGTACCAAAAGGATTCCTTATCTCTCCTTTACTGTTCTTCTATGTAGCTTCTTCATCGAAGTACAGGAGAAGAAGAAGAAGAGGCATCCTGTGAGAAGACAACAAAAACCTGTCAATCGTGGATATCACTTCGTAATCTCAACATTTTTTTTTCTTTAAACTAATTTTTTTTTACTTTAAATTAAATTTTTTAATATTTTTAAATACAAATCACTTTAAAAAAATCTGTCAAAGTTGTGTGAACTACGACCATAAACAAAAATCCAAACCAAAACCCCTTTGACAAGAAAATCAAACACAGATTATTAAACAAATTCTGAAAAAGAATTCCCCCTACCCAAGTCACGAAACCCTATAAAAATCACCCACATGCAGGTTAGAACGTGCAAGCTAAGCCCAAAGCTCTAAAAAAAAAAAAATCCATGTCATCCTCGTCGTCTATCATAACCCTCCAACTCCTACTCTTTTTCATTGTGGTTCCCATCTCTTCATTAGCAAAAAAGCCACACGTCATCAATTTCCGATCTCCCAACCTCTACCCTGAAGGCCTTGCCTACGACCCATCCGCCCAACACTTCATCGTCGGCTCTCTCCACCACCGCACTCTTCACTCCGTCTCCGACGCCGGCGTTATCGAAACCCTCATCTCCGACCCCTCCCTCCCTCCTAACACCACCATCCTCGGTCTCGCTGTTGATAAACTCAACAACCGCCTCCTAGCTGCCATCCACTCCGACCCTCCCCTCCCTCCATTCAACGCCCTCGCCGCTTACGACCTCCCCTCGCGTCAACGGCTCTTCCTCTCCCTCCTCCCATCTACCCCCTCCGATGACAACCGCCGCCCCGTCGCCAACGCCGTGACCGTCGATTTGGAAGGCAACGCTTACGTCACCAACTCGCTAGGATACCCGGAGGGAAACTTCATATGGAAAGTTAACCCTGAAGGGGAAGCCTCGATTTTCTCGAGATCTCCGCTTTTCACGCAGTTCCCGGTGGACCGCGACGCCCCGTATAGTTTCTGCGGGCTGAATGGGATCGCTTACGTTAGCAAGGGTTATTTGCTGGTGGTGCAATCAAACACGGGCAAGTTGTTCAAAGTCGATGCTCACGACGGGACGGCACAGAATGTTTTGTTGGGCGAGGATTTGCCGGTGGCTGATGGGATTGCGATAAGGGGAGACGGTGTCGTTTTGGTTGTGTCGCATGAGAAGCTGTGTTTTTTGAAGAGTGACGACAGCTGGGGAGAGGGAGTGGTTTATGATAAAACTGACCTTGATGTGGAGAAGTTTGCTACA